AGGACCCTGACCAGATGGAGATTGACCGCGTGCAGAAAGGCAAAGGAAAGTGGGAAAAGGAAAAGACCCAAAAGGGAAAGGAAAAGGCAAAGAAGGAAAGGCAAGTTCACAGGCGGCGGCAAAGCACAGCAGTCACAGCAATACAACAGCTCATGGCAGAGCTGGCAACAACCACATCAGAAGGGACAAGGTAAGCAGTCCAAAGGTCCTGGCAAAGGCAAGGAAAACACAGGGAAAGGAGTTGGCGGCAAGGCGACAGGAAATTGCTTTGTGTGTGGAAAGCCTGGCCATCAGGCCAAACAATGTTGGCGCCAGGCAGCACGGCAAGTTTCACAGTCGCATGAGCCCAATCCTGCAGCTGATTCAATCGCAACAGCAGCAGAACCGGTCGCAGCAGCCAACTACTTCGAATCAGCAGCAGAACCAACAGACCAGCGCGAACAATGCGAGCAACGGCAAACCGACGAATCAGTACCGAGTGAACTTGGTTTCGCAGTTGCATGATCGTGATCAACCTCGAGCCATGATTTTCAACGTGGCAGACAAAGATGAAGCGCAAGTTTCATTTTGTAACATGATAACTGTCAACAGGGCGGTTTGGTACGACATTAGTGATGATCACATGTGCATGGATTGCTCTACAGAATTTGGCGAGTATGATGTTGTTCATGAACAAGCGCAGCACATTGAAGACAGCAGAGATGCACTTGAAGCTTGGATGTCCGACATTTTGAATCCTCACATTGCAGATTTGCATTTAGAGTGCAGTGCGTGCGATGTGGACGTGAATGCTACAATTTCAGATTTCCAGCAGCTTCAAAATGCAGAGTGCGAGATGTTTTTCCCAAGTATTTGCACAAATGGTCATGCAGGTGATTCCTCTTTACCCCATGTTCGAGCAGTATGTGACCACGGATATGACGCAGCCAGCTCAGCAGACTGGATTGACCTTGTCATTGATTCAGGTGCAGATGCAAGCATGCTTCCATATGACTTTCAGTACGCAGGTAGTGCTTGGTTGATGCTCAGGATCAGCCGATTGGAGTGCTGAGTCAGAGGGAAATTGAAATCGAACGTCGAGCGTGCCTGTTGGAAATATTACACAACCACTGGTGGCATTTGGGCGAATGATGCTTCACGAGTGGGGGGTTCAGTCAGATGGTCATGAATTCAAGCTCATCCACCCTTCAGCGCCCATTACACTGAAAGGCAAATCGCTTACTGTGAAGGGACGTATTCGTGCAGTGCAAGATCGTGGAGAAGGAATCCAGGTCAGGCTGGATGACAAGCTCCTGCGATTGCCGCAAGGTTGGCGTGAGACTAGTGCAGGACATTTGGCATTCTGGGGATTTTCTTTGCAGTGTGCAGATCCGGATTTGAACTTCCCTACCGAGCAATGGCCTTTTCGAACCACTGTAGTATATGAAAATTGGAGGTGGACTCTTTTGGAATTTTGTGACAAAGTTGAGAATGAGCATTTGGGGGAACTCATGAATCCTGCCCTGGATGCAGAAGTGGTTGTTCTTCTTAGCAGGCAACGAGAAGCAGCAGAAGCTTTGGGTTTGCATGTCGAGACACCACCTCCAGACGCGGTTGAGACCCCATTGCAGTCGACCAGTTCAAGTTCAAAGGGTTCAGAAACACTCCTGGAAAATTTGTAGAAATTGTGCCAGAACCACAAGCAGAACCATCCCGTGCCGATTTGCAGGTTGCACCTGAAGCTCCTGGCGAGCAACAATGGCAGTCAGAATCTCAGCCCGATGCTGAGGGTGCGGTGCAAGTGCGTGTGGAACAAGACAATCAGAGCGTTGTCATTGATGGTGTTGAACTCACTGTTGAATCAGCAATTCGGGTGCTTCGAGCGGCGTGCAAAACATGCGGCTTGTCGTCCTCTGGGAACAGACAGAAGCTTTTTCGAAGGCTGCTCGAGCATCACCAGAGACAATTGCTGACAATGGCAACTGAAGCAGCGAGGAGGGCAGATGCAGACAACACGCGTGATGCAATACAGGTGTCACTCTCAGAACCTCCAAAGTCTGAGAGCGAGCGCAATCAGGTGCGAGGCATGCATCAAGGCGAAGTCAAGAGCAGACAGGCATGAAGCAACTCCCACAGCTGGAATTTCGCGTGAGATTCCTACAGTCAGTTTTGATTTTTATTACACCTCCACTTCAGCAGATGGCGAATTGGTGAAAGGCGGCAAAGATGATCTTATATGCCTTGCAGTTGTATGCTCACAGACTGGTGTTGTACAAAGCATTCCAGTGGACACCAAGAGCAGAAACTTGAAGTACTTGACAGCAGTGTCAATATCTTCCTCCTGGTCATCGACGATGCCTTGCACCATGCGCCAGACGCAAACCCGAACATGTGCTGGGCACACTGCGGCCGATGATAATTACACTACGGCCTGCGGAGAGAAAATTGCGCAGTGCTGTGTGCATTTGATGACTTGGTTTCGTTTCTCATTATGTTGACGTTGATTCCTTGCCGGATCCTCTTTCCGCTGTTTTGCAGTGTACAAGTTTGTGAATTGTGTCATGTCGCACCCTCTACAGATCGGTACTTTGAGTATGAAGTTGTGGCCGGACCGGGTGATGCTGTTCAAGAATGGATAAGAATCTTTACACCAGGCTCCTGGAGATTGCTGAGTTCCACAATGGCCACACCACCTGACGCCCTTCCATCTACGTTTCGAGAATGGAAGAAGTTTTACATCTTTGAAACATACTACATTCTGGATGGCACTGGAGGCACTTCTCCCGATGAACAGCTTTGCACGACATCTTTGCCTACGCACTACTGCTGGCATTTTCGCGACTGGAACACACTTGGGTGGCAACGACTACTACCTCCCACATCACGTCGGCCTCAACCACCCCACGCTCGGGACCAATCTTCCGATTTTTTGTCGGCCTCGGATGGTGCCTGGAGAGACCCCTCGCCACCTCGTCGAACATTATCTGACTCAGAGTTTGATTGGAATGCGTGAGTGTTGATTGAATGGGAGAAAAGGTATGGCGCGTTGCAGTTCTGATGTGCAGGTTGCATGGACTCATTTCATCTGCTTGTTGCGGTTGTCGGTTGCGCATGCTTTCCATGTGTCCTCATGCATCAGTTGCCTGGTTTCCCACGTCACCACACAGTGTGACCGAAACTGCTTGGAGTGTAGTCTTCGGCATGGCGTGGGTGGTGTCCAGATCCTCTACAACCTGAACATCAATGGATTAAGATTTGGGAGCCTGGGCCCTGGGTGATTGGGACGCATCGCAAATGGAAGTGTGAACCGCCTGATGATGGCCACAGTGAACGGCAACCAGTATGGCATCGACGAGATTGGACCACTGAAGGGTACCGCCGGATTGCTCCTCGTCAAACAGAACATCAACATCGAGGACACGCCGCTTGGTCCTCTCCTTCGGCTGACGTTGCCACCACTCTGGACAATCTCGCATGAAGCTGCGGCGGTCATTTTGAACCTGATCCACGCTAATCCCTCCGCTGAAGTGACCTGGGATGACGTCATCACTGGCCTCAAGCGTCTTCGCTCAACTGCGCCTTCCAACAATGACGCTGGGACATCTCGCCCTAGCAGCCGCCCTGAACCTTACAACGCAGAGCTGTCTGTTATTGACAATACTTCATCTCCGCGCTATGCGCCATTTCGTCGGACCACCACCCCGAGCGCACCTACGCGGCCTACTTGTGAGTTGTTACTGGATGTGTGAGTTCTCTGCCGGCTCTTGAAAATCGGGTTGTGCCTCGAGTTCGTTGCTTTGCATGTGCTTGTCTTGAGCTCCATGCTTTGATGCTCATGTTCAGCTGTTTTCGGTGCGTAGTGTTTCACCAGACGACACCAGGGACTTTGATCATCCGGATGATGAGCTTGTTCCTGATGAACCTGTCATCCTTGATGGAACCCAGGAACCACCACCCCTGGATGGCAACACATATCGGACCTGGAGCAAGCACTGGATCGTTTGTGATTCAACCCCTGGCGAAGATGAAGGAAGTCCAATTTATGTACGGTGGACCTTCGTTTGGAAACTTCAAGATTGGCGTTGTCAAGGGTATCAACGTGTTCTCTCAAGACAGGACCCCTTTGACGCCAACCTGGACCCTCACGCGCCTTTCTTACTGGACGCGTCTCGTGCGACCCTTCCTCTACCGGCGCAATTGACATCCTCTCGCAGCTTTGGACATGCACCACACCGGAGGCTTCATGATCGTGAGCGCGGGGCCCCGACTCCTGAGGACATCCTGGCATCTACATTCTGCGGAGGTGTGTGTGTGTGTGCCGAGTTCCAGATTCACCCTGGAACCTACAGCAGGGCACAGGCCCATGGTGGTGACCTGTGCCAACGAAGCTGCCCACCACGGACTGATCATCCGTGTGTACCTGCACCAGTGACACAAAGCCTTGGTTCTCCTGCTGTGTGTGCTTCATGTTGGAACTGGTAACGTTTTCGACTCTACAGGGAAGCCATCGGTCTCGCTCGAAAATTACCCACTCGAACTAACCCAGCTGACAAGTTGTACTCGAAGATAAGCAACCTCCCTCGGGAGTTCAAGTGTGTGTGTGTGTGTGTGTGTGTGCGTGTGTGTGTGTGTGTGCGGGTGTGCGGGAGTTCGTGATTCACACCTGCGCCAATGAAGACGCCCTTCTTTGCTGGTGAGCTCCAACGAGATGCCGTTGGACGTATCTGCTATGAGTGATTCTGAAAGTCCATTTGAGCTCCAAAACCTCCGTGTACATTTTTACTAAGAGTCGTGTCATATCGACCTGTGCGCAAGCCAAATCTCCACACGCTTAAGCTGGCGGCGTAAGCAAACCTGCACATGTGGCCGCGTAAGGAAAACGCCGCAAATCATTACACGTTTTGGGCATGGCTCATTTGGTCCCCCTCTTTCGCCGTGTGTGCTCCTTGTCTGAAATCTAATGTTTTTGACCTAGAGGGAGCCAACAGTCACTCAAAAGCACAAAACATGTTGCACTCAATAGTCATTACTCGGCTCGAAGTTTGTTACTTTCCTTCTTAGGGAGTTTAAGTGTGTTTGTGTAAGCGCCAGGTAACGTGGTACAGGTGCTAGGCCCGAAGCTGTAGCCTAGATTGATGACATGCTTGAGCATTTTTTGCTGGAAACGTGTGGCCGGCAGATGCACGTTGATGTTCACAGATGATTAGCAATGGCCTGTGGATGTGGTGGTTTCAGTGTGTGGTTGGGGGCCTACGTGCAAGTTCCACGTTGTCCGCGAACACATCCGCCAAAGGCTCTGGCCCCACGCGGATTTTTGTGCCTGCAGCATTCCAGACAGTTCACGAAGAAATCCAGCACCGGTTTCGGCTGCTCAGCTGGAATATTTTGGCACCCTCTTGGGACAACACCTGGGCGAAGACACGGCCGTCCAACTGGCATGTGCGATTTGCACGGATTGCGCAGGAGATACGGTTGCGAAAAGCAGATATCCTTGTTTTGCAGGAGGTAGAAGTGCTGCTTTACGATGAGCAGATCCAGCCTTTGCTGAAAGCTCGAGGTTATCAGAGTGTTTACTCCGGCTTGGATTCGGGCATCGGGCTAGCAGTGTTTTGGCGACACACCAAATTCAAGCTCAGCCATGCCGTCGATATTGACTTGAGGGACACTTCGTGGAGCAAGTGGCGCTTGCGGGACTTGAGTGAGACACAGCGGCAGAGATATTTGTCGCAGCCCAACGTGGCGCTTTTTGCGACTTTAGAATGCCTGGGGGACAAAACCCAGGCAGGCCATGCTGTTCTCATTGGGGCAACACACCTCACAGCAAACCCAGCAAACCATTTGCCTCTTCGTCTGGACCTGCAGCTTTTCCAAGCCATCATGTTGCTGGACGGGATGCGCCGGGTTTTTGACCAAGAAAGGGTGAACCATGCAAGTTTGAGTGTCGTCCTCGCCGGGGATTTTAACGTACCACAATTTTTTCCTCTCAGCGCATTCGAGACGTTGACCAAGCAGATTGAGAACCCCTCCGAAGACTTCACAAGGCCAGCCTCGCAAGAGATGGTCCTTCCAAGTCCGGTGTATGATTTGATGACCCAAGGCAGTCTGACTGCGGAGTCCGTGGGCTTTCTGATGACTGCCGTGAAAGCTTCCGGATTTCATCCTTCGAGTCTGCTCGGAGGCAGGCAAAACCGAAATGTTCAGCAAAACGGATTGGGATGCAAGCTTTGCGATAAAACCCGGCCAGGTCCGGTCTATGACATGTTTGTTCAGGATCGGTCGCAAGACGTTCTTATCAGCACTTACGCGCACGTCACTGGCACAGAACCGATAACAACAGAGGCGGACACGTTGGACTTCATCTTCTTCATGCCAGGCCATCGGCGTCACTCTCGTCCAGCAAGACTGGCAGTCCAAGGAGGGCGATCCTGTAACTGGAGAGCGGGCGTGAGAGCATGCTTGAATGGTAGGCCAGATGAACCAACCAGTTGATTTGGTCCCTGAAGGTGTCCTTGCTGCTCCGCTTCCACAAAAGAGGAGCCTTTTGCTCAACGGCCTGGGTTCTGACCACATCCCTCTGCTGGTGGACTTTGCCATTCTATCACCAAACGCCGCGGCAGCAAAAGCGGAGTGCCCACCGGCGACGGCGACCGCGACGGCGACCGCGACGGCAACCGCGGCCGCGACGGCGCACGAGGTGCTCAAGGTTCTCCGGCAGCTGCAGGAACTGGAGGCGGCGCTGAAACTCCAGCAGCGAGAAATGGCGACGCAGCTCGTGCAACTGTGCGTTGTGACCTGCGCCTTGGCGACGGCCTTGTGCCTTTTGCGCCTTGGCCAAAGAAAAGGAAGGGGAGGAAGGGGAGGAAGGGGAGGAAGGGGAGTCCCGAATCCCGGACAGCGTGTCAGTGTGTGTGCGTGTGTGTGCCAGTGCGTGCGCTCAGGATGCCGCTGGCGCCTGTCAGGCTGAATGCTCTGGTGGCCTTGCTGGTCCTCACGCTTCAAGGGGCTCTGCTGTGGAGGTAGCAGCCGATTCAAAGGTTTTCCCAGAAACGGGATTTCTGCGTTTGCAAGACTGGAGCCAACAGGGCCAATGAAAATAGAGATGAGCTGATGAGCTGATGAGCTGATGAGTTTGTCGCTTGGGGTAGTGTTGGCTTGTCGCATGCGCTTGCACATTCACGCCAAGCCAGTGCCCGCAGCCCAGAGCTCAAGCCCACGATGGCGCACGCGCCCACCTACGACACGGTGGTGAGCTGCTTCCGGAAGCAGCAAGCAGCAGTTGCTTGCAGAAACAGCTTCGGGTTCGTGTTTTTTTGGAGGCCAGGTTCGCCAGGTTTCGTGGTTTCTGGGGCTTTCTTGCAGCAGATGCACGACGCACATGCCGCACAGAAATTGCCGTGCCGCCATCTTTGCTCTTGTCACCAAGCCCAGCAGTTTTGCTAATTTCACATATTCCCGCTTGGCCGATTGGGTACACTAGGATATGTTCAGCAAGAACAGCAACTGCGCTGCCAAAATCCGTTGCAATGGCAGACATATCCACAGCCTCTGCGTCAGGAGGCAACTCAAGAGTTTTTTCTACACAGGAACCGAGCTGCAAGCGGGCTTCGCAAATCCCAGCATTTGCCGAAACAAACATCTGAGAACATAGGCTGGGAGTAAGATTCGATTGTATTTGTTTCTTTTTATTTGCTTTGAGCTCCTTGGCTAGCTTCGGTTTGGCCTGGCAAGCATGTTGCTATGGCATAGGATGGCCACCTCCAGCATGCTGTCAGGGGGAAGGACCAGGGTTCAAGCTGTCTAGATTTTGCAAGTTTGGCCCATAAGTTTTTAGGTTCGGCGCGTGTTCGGGGCACGTAGTCATTTCCCTTCCATGTTGGTTGGTTTGCAGGCTGTGAAACATAAGGGAGTTGCCCTCTGACATGCACGGTTGAGCGTTAAGCAGCGTGCCACTTGCCACGTATCGGCCCGAAACACGTAGGGCCCCTGAGTCGGGAGAAAAGGCGATTCGACGCATGTTCGCTTGTCAGTGGTAGCGGGGCCCCGGTGACGGTCGGGTGTACGCCGGGCGTCCCCCGAGCTCAAGTTTGAGTACGCCGTGGACAGCCTCGGCGGCAAGCGCGCCTTGGACACCACCTTCGGCAACCTGGTGGATATCATCA